AAGGTGGTGTAACGAAATATGAACGTGTCTTTGAAAAGGGCAAAATATGAACCTGCAAAGCCCTGAAGACTCAGCACTTTTCAAACTGGGGGCCCTGGCCCAAGGCTATTGCAGAGTGGTCATGGTATTGCCACCCTTACTTCTGTGCTGCCTTCAGAGCTGGGTGGCCGGAAAGCAGCAGCTGCTAGTGAGGTGCATGGCTCTGAAGATCGCGCTGGTCCTAGCAGCAGCATAAAAGTAATAGTAGCAATACTGGGACCCCTCTACAATAGGCTTACAACCCCCTTTTAGATCAGGACCCAGTGTCTGAGAAATATTGTGTGCTTTTGTATCGTTACCCTATACTACATGGTACTTTTATCATACAGTCTGAACCTCTCTAGTCCAGCAACATCCATGGTCCAGCATGATTTGAATTAGCTGGATGTCCATTTATCAAGGGTGCGGCCAAGTTTCCCGCAGTCCCATAAAGTTTGTTTACAGCCACCAGTGCTGGCTGTCAGTGTTCTGTGCTGTTATTTAGCTCTAATTTACCCCTCCATGTTCTCCAACAGCCCAGTAAGCAGTGTTGGAAAAGCCACTAGACAATAGTGGCACCTCCCAGGTTTCAGCAAATTTGGCACCGGTCAGGTCCTGACGGCGCTGGACTGGAGAGGTACAACCTGTGTAAGTCAAACGTAAAGACGAGACATGATTTCACAGGGGAGACCAGATGTCAGAGTCCATGGCACGTTTTTCATGGCTGTGAATTTTTATATTCCATCAATCGCCCACCAAGGCATAGATCCATTAGGGATTCTCCTATCTTCTGCTTCTCATCCCCCCACTCCATACACGCCTACATGTTCCCGGGAAATAAATGGAATGCCTTCTTCCACCACAATCCAGATGTTTCTTCTGCATTTCCTCCCCTTTTCAATTCTCACTGACTAATTCCTAACCCACTTATTCTGCAAGGTAAAAATGCCCAGCCATCTACTGACAGATTGGCAAAAGTCCAGAAATGGCCTCAAATCTTCCAGGAGATCAGAATTGACACTGGATTACCCTATAGTTAATGATGGTGTAAACCTGGAGTGATCCCCTTCCCCCCTCCCACAATGAAGTAAAGGGAATTATGGCTGGATTCTGAATTTGGTGAAAATCCAGGGTGACCCCACTGTTGTTAATGAAATCAAGGCAGATTCAGGTGAACCCACTGCTGTCCGTGTAATTACACGGATATAAAACTCTCACGTAAATGAGAACAGGATCTGGTTCCTGGCTTCAGTGCTCCTAGAAAGAACTAATGGGCTGTGTCTAGACTGGCCAGTTTTTCCAGAAAGTCAGCCGCTTTTCCGGAAAAACTTGCCAGCTGTCTATACTGGCCACTTGAACTTCCGCAAAAGCATTGACTTCCTACTGTAAGAAATCAGTGCTTCTTGCGGAAATACTATGCTGCTCCCATTCGGGCAAAAGTCCGTTTACACAAAACTTTTGCGCAAAAGGGCCAGTGTAGACAGCTCAGATTTGTTTTCCGCAAAAAAGCACCGATCGTGAAAATGTCGATCGGGGCTTTTTTGCGGAATAGTGCGTCTAGATTGGCACGGACGCTTTTCCGCAAAAAGTGCTTTTGCGGAAAAGCGTCCATGCCAATCTAGATGCTCTGTTCCAAAAATGCTTTTAACGGAAAACTTTTCCGTTAAAAGCATTTCCAGAAAATCATGCCAGTCTAGACATAGCCGTGATGAAAAAACAACATGGAGTCCAGTAACACCTTGAAAACTAACAATATTATTAGGGCATGAGCTTTCGTGAGTTGAAACTCACTTTGGACAAAAAAAAAAGATAGTAGGGGTACAAAGATGGGAGTGTCACATCAGAGCTAATTCAATCAGAGTGGATGTGGATAAAAAAGTGTGAATATCTCAAATGGAAATTTACGTATTGTAATGAGAAAGCCGTTCCCAATCCCTACTCAAATGCATGCTGATGGTGTCAAATTTGCATATGAATTCCAGCTCAGTAGTTTCACATTGCAGCCTGTTTTTGATGGTGAATTTTTGTTTTGTTTTGGTTGAGGGTAGCAACTATCAAGTCTGTAACTGTGTGTCCATGGAGGTTCTAATGTTCTCCCACTGGTTTTTGTATGTTACCATTCCTGATGTCTGATTTGTGCCCATTTATTCTGCTGCATAGAGACAGTCCGATTTGTCCAATATACATGGAAGAGGGCCATTGCTGGCATGTGAGGGCATAGATCTAATGTGATACACTTCATGCATCTGGCACAGTGAGTTGCAACTCACCAAAGCTTATGTCCTAATAGCACCGTTCATCTTTAAGCACCACCATACTCCTTATCACTTTAGCTGCTGCAGACCAAGGTGGCTCTATTGGGATTGAAAGTTTAATTCTTTGTATATTTGTATTTTAGGTTTAGTAATGTAGCAATGCAATTGAATGATGTAGCAATAATGTAGTCATGTAAGGTACATATTAACACACGTTTAACATTTTATTAAGCTAAAATTCTTTTAGATAAATGTATATTCCTTTGTTTTAAAGTTTAGTAAGTTTAGTAATTGGCCTAAGTAGAAAGATAGAGTTTTGGTATTGTATCTAGGTTAATGAGACTAGAGGAATGTTGAAGGTTAAAGGCCTTAATTGATTGATTTGCAATGCCTTTTTGCTTTGCCCAATGCTGACGTGCTGCATAACCTCGAGAGTCCTTGTAACAGATTGCTTCTGTGTGTGAAAGGGGTATGAATGTGTCAAGATAAGGTGCAAAAGTTATTGCTCAGAACCAGATGGCCGAAGATGGAGGGTGAGCGTGGGTGAAGATTAGACAACCTGGTGTCAAAGAAGCCATCTATAACCACCAGTGTGTACCCATAATAAATGATTGGATTATTGGCAGATTGACGGTCCTTGAAGTGAAGCTGGCACCCCAAAGATGACTTGTTAAAGGATGAGCCTTCAAGAGGTGTTTGGGACTGATTAGCACCAAAAAAATAACACTCTGGTCACAGGCTGACACAGCAAAATCCATAAACTTCAACAGAGAAAAGGGATTATAAAAGCAGGGTGCTTTGCTATGGAACTTTGGGTTCATCTTGCCACAACTCCAGTGCATCAGATTGATCAACCGACAAAGGCCCTGCTCTCCTTCCGTGATCAATCTAACTGGCCACTAGATTGGTACAGAATCTCGCCTGGTAACTATAACATCATCTGGTAGGACTGTGTATGCATAATGTTTGTGTGTGTGTGTGTGTGTGTGTGTGTGTAAGTGATTGAAAAGCATATGCAACTGTTGTATTCTCAATAAATGCGGCGTACTGCCTTTTCCCCTATAAAAGATCTTATATGCTTCATTTAAGCATAATAGCTACCTCAGAAACCTACGTGATGGAAACACGGGGAAGACTTCTTGCCTGGTATATATCATCATAACTCCATTCACTGCAATAGGACCATGCCACTTTGTACCACTTAAGGATCTGATGTCTCCAGGAAGTATCAGTCACCCTGAAATCAAATGGACACTTTTCTCCCAGGGCAACACTACTGGATGTAGCGGATGTAGTCAATGTATCAATTTGCCCAATGCAATTAGGATGGCCCCAAGTGGAGACATTGTATCAGACAGCCCCTGGGAAGAACTAGCCCTTTGGATACCTCCTATGAAATCAACCAGGACAGAAGAACTGACAGTGGGGGAAACTTTGTATCAAACACTCCGATTGAGGAAAAGTGACTATTGGAAGCAATGTATTGTGAAAGTAGAAAGAATTATACTGTAAGAGAAAGATGAATTATGCTGTAATAATTGAATAAGTTGAAGGAATACTGTTTGTCTCTGAACAGGAAGAAGAAAAGTATGTTAATGTTGTTTGTAGGTATGCAGATCAGAGTGCTAGCCAGGTGGTCCAGAGTTAATAGGAAAAGGAACATTAGGTGTTAGGGAGAAAGCAATTGAGATAACCAGGGAGATATGGACAGGAGATTGCTGTGTGCTTGATGTGGAAATGAAGATACTTGACTAGCCTCACACTAATCATGTGAAGTTTTGCCCCTCTTTTAATCCTGTTAACTTGGCTTTCTTTTGACTGTATAAATCAAGGAGTTTGAACCTTGTGGGGTACTCACATTTTCTGGGTGCATTTAGCAGAGCAGCTTTGTTAATAAACAGAGCGGTCTGACAAATCTGTGAGTCCTGTCTGACTTTGACAGTATCGACATGCCTAAAGAGGCTGGATTTCCATGGAGACACTGATCACAGGGACCTTAGTGTAGGTCAGTGTTTCCCAAATGGTGATCCACAGAACTCCGGGCTTCTGCAAAGTCAAAATAAGGGTTCAGTGAGAAAGTTCCATTACAATAACATTTTATGATTTAAAAAAATAATAATATGATGAGATTTTTGTTTTTAAATATGTGCAATTAAACTCCATGGTGATCTCATGACCTTGTGTAGCATTTGTTTATTATTATCATCCTTACTTGTTTGTGGTCTACTTTTTCAGCTCCCTATATCAGACTGTTATGAGGGGTTCCGCAAAATTCTTTCGAGTTTAAAAGGGCTCTGTGGCCAAATAAAATTGGGAAACACTGGTCTAGGTACCTCCAGAGGGGAAATTGGACTCTCTCGGAAACATTGTATCAAATTATTTACAGAAAGAATCGACCATGGTGGAAATATTGTATCAAATTTGCCAGGTCCTGGGGTGACTGGGCTGGAAACACTGTATCCGTTTGACCCTGCTGGAGACATTGTATCAAGTCCGCCAGGAGCTGAGCACTGACTCTTCTGGCAACACTATTAACCAGGATGACCCTGCATCAAAGCCCCAGAGGGACGAGCAGCAACTGGCAGCACCACCCACCCACTCTGACCCTGGGGGACATATCAGGACAAGTACCCCCAGAAGAAGAGCAAACTGACTCAACTGGGGATGCCATCTCAAGCTGACCCTGGGGAGAGATGCTGATGGTCCCTCCCTCTGCCCCAAGCTCACAGGCTCTCCCGGGTGTGCGTGCGCCAGTGTTTGACCAGGGTGGAGCTGCGCCCGAAGTCCTTGCCGCACTGGGTGCAGTGGTAGGGTTTCTCGCGGCGGTGGCTCCGCTGGTGGTCTGTGTAGTGGGAGTTCTGGGAGAAGCGGCGCCCGCAGTCGGGGCAAACGTAGGGCCGCTCGCCCGTGTGGGTGCGCTGGTGGCGGATGAGGTTGGAGCTGCGGCTGAAGCGCTTCCCACACTCGGCGCACGGGTAGGGCCTCTCGCCGCGCTGGGTGCGCTGGTGCTGGAAGAGGTCGGAGCTGCGGCTGAAGGATTTCCCGCAGTCGGGGCAGTGGTAGGGCCGCTCCCCGGTGTGCACACGCTGGTGCTTGATGAGGTCTGAGCTGCGGCTGAAGCTCTGCCGGCAGTCGGGGCAGCGGTAGGGCCGCTCGCCCGTGTGGGTGCGCTGGTGCTTCACCAAGTCCGAACGCTGGCTGAAGCCCCTCCCGCACTCGGTGCACGTGTTCGGCCGCTCCCCCGTGTGGGTCCTCCAGTGCTGGAGGAGGGTGGAGCTGCGGCTGAAGCTCTTCCTGCACTCGGTGCACTGGTAGGGGCGCTCGCCCGTGTGCACGCGCTGGTGCTGGGCCAGCAGGGAGCTCCGGGTGAAGCTCTTCCCGCACTCACTGCAGATAGTTGGCTGCGCTTCCCGGGAAGGGGACTTCTTGGGGGGGCGTCTGCCTGCCACTGAGAGGGGCAGCCCTGGGGGCTTTTCCCAAGGAGATTCCAGGGCTGAAGGGATCTGGAGGCCAGGAGGATGCTCAGAGGATTGCAGTGGGGCTGGAATCTGGGATAAAGTCTCATCAGACCATGACCCCTCCAGGCCCTCTTCTATGGACTCATTCCCATCGGACAATACTCCATCCTGGTCCTCTTCTATGGACTCATTCCCATCGGACAATACACCATCCTGGTCCTCTTCTATGGACTCATTCCCATCGGACAATACACCATCCTGGTCCTCTTCTATGGACTCATTCCCACCAGGCAGCATCCCATGAGCATCTTCTCCTATGGAGGCATCCTCATTCGATGATGCCCCATCTGGATCTGCTCCCACAGGGCCATCCTGCCAGAGATTCTCCTCATCTACCATGGCCCCTACTGGGAGAGAGAAAATCCGGATGAGGCTCGTTCCCTGTGCCAAGGCAAGAGGGGGTGGCAGAAGGGTTTGCCATGGAGCAGAAAGCCTGAGGAGCAGGAAGTGAACCCACAAGCCCTTCTGCGGTGGCTGCTTCTGCCCCGATGGCCCAGCAGAGCCTTCAGGCAATCCTAGAACACTGGAACTGGAAGGGGCCTTGAGAGGTCATTGAGTCCAGTCCCCTGCCCTCACGGCAGAACCAAGCACCATCTAGATCAGAGGTTCCCAAACTGGGGGGCACAACCCCCTGAGGGCATGTGGAGAAATTCCAGGGTGGGTGAAGGCAACCTGTCCCCCTCCTCAACTCCCCTCTCCTCCCCTCCCCCCAAGAAAGAGCCCAGTCCCTCCCATAAACAAATTCAGAAAATCCCATGTGAAATGTCTGGTATTTTCTGCTTTTCTTGGCTCGGAAGTCCACTGGAACATGCGCAGCTTGGGCTGGCTGGGGTGGGGGAAGGACGGAGCAGACTTCAAAATGGCTGCCTCAAAAGTCCCCCTCCTCAACTCCCCTCTCCTCCCCTCCCCCCAAGAAAGAGCCCAGTCCCTCCCATAAACAAATTCAGAAAATCCCATGTGAAATGTCTGGTATTTTCTGCTTTTCTTGGCTCGGAAGTCCACTGGAACATGCGCAGCTTGGGCTGGCTGGGGTGGGGGAAGGACGGAGCAGACTTCAAAATGGCTGCCTCAAAATTTGTCCTGCTTCTCAAAAATCAAAAAGGGGGTGTGATGCCGAAAAGTTTGGGAACCGCTGGTTTAGATCATCCCTGGCAGGTGTGTGTCTACCCTGCTGTTAAATATCTCCAGGGATGGAGATTCCACAACCCCCCCCAGGCAATTTATTCCAGTGTTTCACCCCCTGACAGCTGGTTTGGTTGCTCTTCTCTGGCCCCTCTCCAATTTCTCCACCTCTTTCTTGAAATGCGCTGCCCAGAACTGGACAGGGGAAGCTGGGGGAAGAGGAGGGCCCTTGCCAGGGCCAGGCAGGCCAGGCGGGCTGGGAAGTGATGTCTGCCAGTAGGACTGGGGAGGATACTGAGCCAGGCAAGGCAGAAATGGGATGGGGAGGGGAGGGGGATTCCCAACTTCGCTGGGATCCGGCCTTGTCCCTTCACACCGGGCCATGCTT